TTCTTTTTATTACAATTAAAACTGGTTACAGTTCATTAAAGAAAAGGAACTAAACTATATTTTCTATATTTTGAAAATGAACTTATGTCAATAAAATTTCTTAAACGATTATGAACTATTCAGTTGCATTGATATCGTTTTATAAATCGAGATTATTTATTTATATATTACCATAGAATTTCAATGTCTACTGAAGTGAATTTATTTCAAACAATTGTATTAATTCTAAATTTCCGTTTCAGAAACAGATTTTCATTATAAAAGTGTTAACTAAAGAATATTTGCCTTATGATTTATCTTTAAAAAACAATTGTATCCAGTAGATTTTTATATGAGAAAAACACGAAGCATTTCGATTACTTTTCAGATGATTAAACAATTTTAGTTGAATTTTGAATGATCTTGAAATAAAATAAAAACGTTCTAATGATGAGTTCATTTTTAAAAATGATAACTATATCCATTAAAAGTTCATAACAATGAATAGAATTGAAAAAAAAGCTCTCTTTTTTATTCTAACAAAGTTGACTCACCGAAATCCTAAGACCAAGACATTCTGTTCCAATTACAGTTGTTTTTGTAACACGACATAATTCTTCTCTAAATTTCGGTAAATATACTGCATCGGATAATCGACATTTCACCAATGAATTTCCACTAAACAAGAGTTAAAGATTATTTTAAATTAAGTTTGATTTCACTTTTAAATTTCATATCGATAAATTAGTACATAGGATGCAGCACAAATATCAAATAGATTATATTCATTATAATTGAATCGATGTTCATCAATTGGACTTTTTGACAAACACTTAATAATTTTCGTGTCGAAACAAAGTAATAGAAAAAATAAACTTTTATCCTTATTTTTTTGTTCATCTAAAACAATTGAACCAAAATTATATTTCATTCAAAAAAGAACAAAACTCAATTGTTTTCAAATAGATCAAGGGTGCAGGTGTGGGTGGGTGTATGGGTGTGAGTCTGGATCTTCTTTTCTTCTCTACCCACATCCACACCCACACCCCACACCCACACCCTCGAAGTGTTCTTTTATGATATTTCAATGATTGGGAATAATTACCTAATTCTTCATACCCAATATCATTGTAAATAGCTGCTCTTCGAACGAAATCATATACCATTATCGAAAAGCTTGTAAATATTCTCCTTTTTCTCTCTATATTCCTCCAAGATTATTTTTAATTGTTATAACATCAGAATGATCAGATGGTAGTTCATTAAGCAATAATGTATAAAACTCTTCTGCTTTATCTAAATCATTCATTTGATATAGAAATCTAGCCAATGTTAAAATATCTGCTGTTTGATCAATTTCAAATTTTAATTCGTCAATTAATTTATCTTTTATTGAGTTGAGTTCGTCTTCGCATAAGATTAATTTAACAAGCCAAATATCATCAGTAGATTGTTCAACAGATTCAATTCGGAATGTTCAATCAATGGTCGGCCAGTGCCATTGCCAGCAAACTCTAGTGCTGTAGCTGATGATAAACTCGTAGATGTAAAACTATTCATTGCTATTCGACCATTAATATTTTCCTTTATTTTGTTTAATTCTGAGATTGTTAATCCTTTCCCTCGATAAACGATTAAACTCTCAATCTTTTCTAATGAATCGATATACTTAGTATGTAAGCTTGATAATCGATTATGTAAATCGACAAGAACAAAACGAAATCGAAATGTTATTGATATATCTCGTGTTTTTAATTCTCGGTTCAATAAACGATAAAGAAATGCATCACGTGTGTACCATTCAATATCATCTCCTTGGTATTCTAGTCGACATTTATTCCGGAGATCTTTTCGTGAGATAGATGTTAATGGCATACGATTTAATATCTCACTTAACAATTGATTCCACATGAATAATGCTTCCTCTTCATTTAAATTATAACATGATGTTTCCTTTTTGGATTTTTTCCTGGTACCACTGTTATCGGTACCATTTTTGTATAAAAATCAATATCTTCATTTAATTTTGTTAACAGTTGTTCTTTATCAACAAAAATACCTTTTAACTTATTTGAGTATAATTCGACCCATTCTTTATGTTTTTCTTCATCTTTACAAAATAAATAAATGAATTCAATGTTTGTTTCATCATAAATAAATGGTACGATCTTTCTACCATATGAACCAGGTAGAATAAGAAATAATGTTTTTGAATTCAATTTGTTTGATAATAAATAATTTATACATAACTTAATATCATCAATTTTTTTAAATAATTTCCGATAGAACGTAAACGAACTTTTCTATTTAGATAATTACTACTTTTTAGATCAAACCAGACAACTTCCTTGCCTTGAATAGAATTATTGTTGACTGGTTTATTTAACTTTTTTCCTGATAAGACAGCGTGTGTAAACATTTTTGCATTTTTTGTCGTAGATACATCCAAAAATAACTTTCTTTTTCGCTTCTTTCTTACCAGATATTGAGTATTTGATTGTTTGGATCGGCTTATATAAAAATCATTATCCATTGATTGAAACTTTTTTATTGGACAGTTGATGATTTTGTTTTAAGAATTTTCTCTCTGATTCATGCCAAGTTGTCGTCAAAACAAATTATGAAATGTATAATAGATTTGACCCCACAATAATGTATTTCATTAATGCCAGTCTACCGAAGAAAACTTTTCCATAGAATATCTACTTAAGGAAAATAAACATTCAATATACTCAATACTGCAGTTCTCCACAGTGATGTGATAGAAATACGAAAAAGTAAAAAATCTGTATGCTTTTGATATATTATTTGTAAGAAAAATATTATATGCACAATGTTGCTTACGGCAAGTGAAATAGAGAAATATATTTTTATGACATACACATAAATTTTGAATATTAATCGTTTTCATCGAACGAAATCTAGAATTCGTCTTAAATTCAACATTTCACCATCTACATTATTCACAGTAAGAATTACAACACATGTGTTACTCTTCAACGTTTACACTCAACAAGAATTAGAAAAAAAAATAAGAGAAAATATTTGAGAAGGGTAGCGAGAAAGAGAAACACAAAAGAATGAGTTGGTAAAAGGGTGCATGTATATGTCAACGATTACAAGAACACGTGCATACGCTTTGGCAATCACCTATTTTGTGTGGATATTCTTACAATCGTTTATATTCACTACCATTCTGTCACCTCATTCTTATGTTTTTATTTCTCAACAGTTTTCTTCTCAATTTTTTCTCTTATGCCGCTTTTCTGATGCTTACTGAAAAGGTGTGTGTGTGAGTGTTGTTAAAGGGAATATCAACATCTGTACGTTCACAGTCAATCATAGCCATCATCATACATATTCTCTTTGTTGAATGTCAAAATGATTTTTTGATCGCTTTCATCAAATGATATTTGTTTAGGACTTGCAATACTATATTTGCATTGATCAGAGATAATGATAAAAAAAAAAGAGTGTGGTTATGGATGTGTGTAGTTGAGGTTGTAAATATTGCCCTGAGTCAGGATCTTCTTGGCACAAACACCCACACCCACATCCTCAATCCAAAACTAGAGTTGAGAAATATAACATCATACATGTTCCGAAGTCTGTTAATAATGAACATCGTGTGAATACTAATCAATTATTAAAAGATCAAACACCTAAGGATCTGGGTGCGAGTGTGGGTGTGGATAAAGAGATACCGACAGCGACATCCTCATATTCACACCCCACTCCTACACTCACACCTTCTACAAAGTCTTGGAGGCGTGACACTACTAGAATTAGAATATCGAATAAAATGTATTTTCATTTGATTTAGTCTATTGCTTTTCAAGTGAAATGCTTATTGGTTTTTATCCATTTTCAAGCTGTCTATTTTGATCTTGTTTGTGGCGGATTCATTGACTGCTTGCGAAAAAGTAGCGTGTTATCGTCGTGACAATTTTGAGAATCAATGGGGCTAAAATTTTTAAGGTTACAGTAAGTCCACCGTAGAGACTAAAAAATGTCGTTGCCACATATATGACATTGAGTGAAGTCGTGTAAATGTATATGCACGATAATGGTTCACATGCAGAAAAAAAGGCTTCATAAGAAATGTTAGTGGACCACTGTTCAACGAACAGTTGTTGAAGGATCATCTCCACAGTTGTGTTTCTTGAAAATCGACTAATGTTCTTCATTTCTAAAGCAGTTGCGTTAATCTTTGTTCGTGGTCGAAGCAATTGAGCTACTAAGTTCACACATGTTTGGGAATATATACATTCCAATGTCGATTGAAGCAGAGCCTCTAGTGGGAAGCAGCCCATGTGAAACCCAGGAATTTCATACATAAATGTTTTATTCGACGAATAAATAAAAGCCGATGAAGAACATTTATAGGACATGGCGCATGAACAATTGTCATAAGAAATTGGATAAGTGAAGACAGTTGTATCCGGTTCTGCTTTGTTGACAATGTAGCTATATGAAATTTGAAATCAGATATATGTATATGGAAAGTGTGATATCACTTACTGCCAATTACTTGCGTACACTGTCATAAAGGCATTTCCATGTGTCGCGCGTCGAATAAGTTCTAATGCACTAATAAATGCGCCTGGTGCCTCAAGCTGAAAAGTACTTATTGTTGAACGCATTTGTGCATCAAAGACAGCTGCAGAGATCACATTAGCAGTTATAAATTCACTTGTAGCAAAGTCTTGCAATGCTGTAACCACAGTTTGTTCTGCTAATGCACAAAAGCTTTGAAGCAATTGAAATTGACCAGCCGCTTGAACGCGAAAATCTTCGTAATGTGTTATGCTATAATATAATCGTGAAAGATTAAACTTCAAACGAACATACCCCCTACAATAGGATGTGTAATAGTTGAGACTACGTCTCACTTTTATGTGTCAATTCTGTATGTGCCAGGGTAAAATAGTATAAATATTAACTGCACAAAGAATAAGTATTTTGCCTTTTATACATTATCAAAACACAAAATTTTATGACCAAGTGTCGAGAAGAATTAGGAGTTACTTATATAAGAGTTCAGTTCAAGTTACATGCGAGAATCTATTTTGAGATCCAATCGAAAAGAGCACTGCTTTTCTCTACGAATATTTTACTGAATGCATTCTATTTGGTCATTATAGGCAATCCAGAACTTTTTTCTCAGGTCATTACCGAAGACAGTATGCTAAAGATATTAAACTCAATCTAGTTCTATGAAAGCCGTTTGTTACAGTATCCTATACTTTATTCTTGAAGACTATTAATAGCGAAGCTATAGTAAAACTTATATGTACTATTAATTTATCTCTTTAAAAAAAAAGCATTCTTTTCTCAAGCATTAGCCTTATGACGTACAATAGTGGATCGTATGAAAGGGTCAAACGTCTTTCATTGATTGATTAGCTATGAGTAAATTCAGGATTTTAAAAAGTTATATTATCGATCCAAATCGTATGACACCTATGACTCTCAATTTTATCTACTATGGTTTTCTTAGAATTAAAACAAGGTTATGGGTGTGGTTTCATGAGAGTAGATGATTATGTAGTTATAAAAATTTTTTCCATTCATTACATCAGCCACACCCAAACCCTCACTAAAATTTTTAGATTATTCTAATGTATTATACTTACTAACTCCAAGGAAAAAGCATAGCAATCCATTGTTCTGTAATGAATACACTTGAGCAGACTTGATGAAATGATGGATAGAGTTGAATGAATCGTCCATATGGGATGTTCACTTGTGAGCAGGGACACGTCAATGTATTTGGAAAACGACTTTGAAGTTCTTTATAAATAGTGATCGTTGGAAATTCAATTGTACATGTATTGTATTGAGGAGATAGTGATGTGATAATGATTAAGACAAGAACACTAACACAAAGTAGAACAAGATATAACCGACTGGCATAACGCTGTTCACGTATGCGATTTTCATCGTCGTCAACACGATCCGGAAATAGATTGAATGTTGTAATTTTGTTTCTGACGATAGTGAACCAATAACGAAGTCGTCGACGTCTACCAATGGGAATCATGCCATTTTCAATTGATGTTACAGGATTTACTAATAACACTATCACAGGAATTAATAATGCAATAAAAATTCCAAGTGTTATATTCAACCCACCAACCAGACTAAAAAGTGTTGTGATAATGTAGAACAAACTAGGCCGTTGTATATAGGAATATGTGCATGTTGAAGGTGCACATGCCAAGTAGTACGAAGAATAAGATATATTGAAAGGCCAGTTTTCTACAAACAGATTTTCTACTAAAACGTTTGTTGCTGAAGTGAAATTAAAGCGAGTAGATTCGGTTGAATTCAGTGCACTTATGTTTGCATTCGGTAAGTATGTAAGTATTTGATTTAAACATGTTTCATTATAAAAGCATTCCAGTGAAGAGAGTAGCAGCGAATCGAGAGGAAAGCATCCAAATACGAGGCCTGGAATATAAAATAGTGCATTCTGAACTTGTACGTTAGGATCGTAATTGAAAATTCCGATAGGTTCGGTACAATGCCTATCGATCGCACACCAACATACTGTCTGATTAGCAGTAAGGACGTATACAGGAATGATATCAACTTGCCTACTGTTAGTCACATTCAAATAGAAATTATTTTGAGTGCCAGTAAGTAGTTGATTGCCTTGTATTATAGCCTGCAGGAGTCGAAGTTGTCTACCAAATGTGTTTGTTACTCCATTTGTAAATGCGTTTATAAGAGATTGTGCTCGTGGTAATAATATTATAGATGGTATAGACTGTACACTTATAAATTGGGTACTATTAAATAAAGCTATTGCATCGAAAACTGTTCTATTTGCAAGCTGACAGAATGTAGCAAGTAACTGAAATAGGCCGACGGCATTAACACGAAAGTCTGTGTAGTATAGATAAAATGTATTCTGTGATAGTTCTCCAAGCAATTGAAGCCATGCGAGTGAGATCAATTCACTTGAACATACTTGATGAAAAATTGGTTCAATGTTCATGAAAAGGTTGTAATCAATAGTTAAACGAGAGCAAGGGCATGAAAGTGAATATGGATAATGTGCATAGATATATTCATATTGTATTAGAGAAGGACTATGCACAGTATTAGTATGCGTTTGTACGGAGACTCCGATGTATAACATCATAACGATTGTACTCCCACAGAACAGGGCAAGGTATAACCAAGTGAAGTAGTAACCTATGCGAATTCGACGTTCACTATCAGTGGGATGGTAAAACAAGTTCAGATGGATAATGCGTTTCAAGAGAGCCCGTGGTAGCTTTTTGAGCCAATATCGCCAAAGTAATCCTAGAACACGGAGATCACATGAAGAAGAAGAAGAGTAAAAATCTTGCTCTTTGGATTACTTTGTTCTGTTGTCGTGGATGGCCGGGATCGTTTTCTTCTCATAATGAAATAAACAATTCGTGGTACGAAAAAACGAAAAATGGCCACAAAGCCTCCATATAGGCAAAAGAGATTCGTGATAACTTGAAGCATTGTCTTTCGTGTCTTCAAAGTATACGTGCAGTAAAGAGGCTCACATGCAGCAAAAAATGTACTATAAATGACTGAGACCATTTGACGATCAATAAATAAGTTCTGCATGAGTTTCTCAACACTTGTGTCTAATGACCACGATGACGAGTTCGAGTCAAGTGCAAGTGCTTTCTTGACAGGAAAATGGCGAATAAACTTATCAAGACAAGACTGTTTAAAAAAACACTCGAGGGTAGAGTTGACGAGGGATTCAAGTGGAACACAACTGCTCACGAATCCTTCAAATGAGTCAATAATCATCGAGACATTAAATGAAGTCGCATAATCTCCATCTGTATTACCAGGATCTGTCTCTTGATAGATGGCTGCTTCACTTTGACATTGGAATGTAGTTGAGCAATAGCAAGGTAATTCATCAGCAGACTGAGGAAGAATATTCATTACCAAACCAGCCCATAGATCACCAGCGGCATTTGCAGCGTAAAAATTTGCGGAAGCATCGGTTTTCCACCCAGATACGAGTTGGTTGCCAACTGATGTCTCACGAATAAGTTTCAAAGTACGATCGAATGTCGTTGAAATTTGAATTCGAAAATTATCAACTAAATCATTGACTTGAGTTTGAAGAATAATGGGCGAGATGACTTCTCGAGCTATTAATTGAGTATTAGACATATCGTTAAGACTATTAACCACGGCACTATTTGAGAAATCACACAGTAAACCAAGAAGCTGTAATTGAGCGCTGAATGAACTTCGAATATCCATAGGAAGATAGTAACTGGCGTTTTCATGGAACGAACCATCAATCCATGTCTTTGAGACAAATTCACTGTTACAGATCGGATGGAACTGAGTTTCAAGTTTAATAAATAGTCCATACGGTATACTGACACGAGAGCATGGGCATGAAAGTGAATTGGACTGTCCAATCGAAAAACGTTCATAGTCTGCTAGAGTGGGCATTTGAACAGTTACTATTTCATTCACTGTGCTCAATGAAGTATAAATGGTGAGAGATAATATTATCGAATAAAGTAAAACAATATAAATTCTTGTCGACCACAACTTTTCGTTTTCCGTCAAATGATCGAAAGAATGAGTTTTAAATAAATTATATGTGACAATAAATGTGCGAGCACGTCGTATTTGTTGTAGTAGGATCATTTTATTCTTTTAAGTTTTTCAAAAAAACGATATTACAATCTGAAGTAAAATCTATAGAGAGTAGTTTTGAATTTCGACTATTGTAATAACAAGAAGCTTCGACAAGCATGCAATCATCACTAATTATTTCATTTGCATGGAACAATTGTAGGTATGACTGTAATTCTGAAGTATCGACTGTACTCAAGTCCACAGCTCACACCTCAACGCACGTGTTTTTGAACCAAAAAATAGTTTAAATTCTTTTGCATATAGTTTACAGATAGAAAAGAACTCAGTAAATTAAGATTGTTTGTTTTGTCAAAAAAATGCCCTTTACAAATACATAAGACCTAAACTTTTATCTGCATTATTTTATCATTTCCAAGACATACTCTGTTCATTCAAGTCAAAACTTGATTAAGAGAATTCATCCATAACATGGCTCAAGTATAATGTAAGTAGAGTGCTTAGTTAGCCGAGCTTTCATCGACAGATCTTTCTCATGAAAGTTCTATCGAGGCATCTTAAAATTTTCAACAAAAGTGAAGAAAAAGTTTTCTAGAATATTACTTTGATGCTAAATCACTGGTACCGTAGGTAGAAGATCACTGCGCATTTTTCAATCTAAGAAATGTTTCTTCATCTAATTCAGCTGTAATTTACTCATTTATGGTCAAAAGTGGCGTGAGATCTATCTTCCTGCTCTTTGGATGCTATTTGAAAAACGAAAACATTTCCCAATGGAATCTGACAATACATTAGTAAAAGGAAAACTGATACATCAGTCAATTTCTCTCCACAAAATCCTTACACTTCTATTCTCTTTGTAATCTTTAGTATTTATATCATTAATTATTTTCATGAGAAACAGCGAAAAGAAAAGAATGTAGAAAAATAAAATACGGTATATATAATAAACGAGAAACATGTTTATTAGGCATCATTGTCTTGATGCTCAGTCATAACCGTTAAAAGTGATTGTTATTATGTATTTCAGATAATTCTGTTTAGAAAATTTATGAAATTATACGTTTTCTTTGATTTTTCTGAAGTAAAAACACCAAGGAGAAAAAAAGGGTTAACATTCATTTTGATGTTCTTTTTGATTGTCTAACTAAGATCACATCAAAATCATCGATTTTTTTTGGTAGTATTATCTCTATTTCATATAAAAATTCAAGAAAAACAAAGTCACTCGAACTTTGAAACGGTGTTTTGCATACCCAAGTAGACAATAGAGTGCATGCGATAGGCTTCACTACTACTGTCTATTAAAAAAAAGTGGTCTCGGGTATTTTTACAATAACTCGATAACGGTAACAGCTAGCGACCTGTAGTTTTCACCAACTGAAAGAGTAGAAGTTGGAACGTGTTTTTCTCCGATAATGTATAAGACGAAATCCTTTTAAAAGTAATCATCTTC